CACAAACCCTAACCTTAGAACAGAAAAAAGATGACCACCATCCACAAAAACTATCAATTATGTTGGACTAACGGAGATATTCTTGATTTAACAAAAGAAAGAAAAAAAAAAAAAGAAAAAAAGAAGGACCACAGCAGGGATGGGAACCATTAAGACAATACTGGATGTTCAGGCATCCCAATTAACACTTGTTCCCCCCAGGAGGGGTTTACGGTAGGAGGGGGAGGGTGGGGTCTTCAATCTGTGTGAGCGACGCTAGCAGAGCGCACACCCCCCGCTTAGTGCTGCGCGCTGCAGGAAAAGGCACTGGAGTGGGGCTGTTGCAAGCCGTAAAAAAGTAAAAGCAATATACATTCAGAGCTCACAGGTTGTCTTGGGAATAAATACACAAAATGCACTTGTAGAAAAATAAAATGTAAAAAAGCGTGCCCCCCCCTCTTTTTCTCCTCTTTGTTTTGTTGGGAAGTATGGCTACTGTTTTTTTGTTTGTTTTTGTCGTTTCTTTTTTCCACCCCACCTAGAAGGCAAATTCAGGAGCGATCCTCCACTGCTGTGGCCAGGAGCTTCGGAGCCCTTTCGTTCACGCAGAGCAGAGGGGGAGCAGCGGGGGTGCAGGGGGGCGTTAAGGGGTCTGCTGGAGGTCAAGGCTCAGCTTTCAGTGGGAAAGCACAGGAACGCAACAGAACATGTGTTTTCGAATGTACAGACGGCTGAAAACCGGAGCGGGACACACACAGGAGAAAATATGCATCACTTCACCACAACCCCTCCTTACTGTGTTTACAAGCACTGAAAACAAAAAAAGGAAATAATGACACAGAGCACTGTGCAAAACTTTTACTCTTAAATTGGGGTTTTAGCAAGTTTTCTCTGAACCATCACCGTTTTATTTTTTCCTTAGTTTTAAAGGCAAAACGTTTTAGTTTTTGATCAAAGAAAGAAAACTCATCCTATCCCGACCCATTTTGTACCATAATGCTAGAATTTTGCTGGTTGATACTAATTTTCTGAGAGGATGATTACTGTTTTTACAGATTTCAAAAGAGTGATGAATAAAGATGTTTCTGTTTTAATTCAACAGAAAAAAAGATTTTTTTAAAAAATTAACATTTAGGCATCAAAGCATTTTCCCTGTTTTTTATGCAATTCAAGAAGAGTGGTTGTTGTAAACAGTGACGTAATTTAATTAAAAAGGGAAATAAATTCAGATTTTCCTGGCTTGTGCTGCCAATCAGAGAAAACCTTGCAGATTTTAAACGTGTTCATCCCTTCAGTTCATTTGTCTTTTTTACATGGATCATAAATACGTAATTTAAGCTTTTAACAACATTTTTCATGAAAAAATGTTTCAGTACTTGGAAAACTTTTCAGGCTATCCAAAGAAAGGATAGATAAAATGCAAATTAATTCAATATAAACTCACAATATATCATTACTTTGTCATTTATTATCGGATAAAACTCAAACTCAATCTAAATTTGTTGCAACCAGACAGCCTCTCTTTTCTTAATCTTGGCTGAAGTAACTTTAATTTTGCATTTTAACAACAAAAGTTAGTTTTTAAATTAAAAACAAAAGTGTGCTACTTTCTGGGTAATTTGTATCTAACAATAATGAAGCAACAACAATGAGGCAACTATTAATCTTTTCTGTAGTGATTAAAAAAATTAACAGTTCTAGAAGACAACCATCAATTAGCTCTGTAACAAAAACTTTACATCGGCGGAAAAAAAACAAAACAGAAAAATCAATGTTTTTACTTCTTAAAACCCAAAATAAAAAAATGTCAAGAAGCTTTTTCTGTCATTTACAAGAAAACTAAAGTGTGTTAAAAGCATTTTCAGTGCTTATAAACTAATAATGCCAAACGGGAGGTAGAGGTTAGCAGGGCAAAGTGTGCTTGTTGGCGAGTGACTGGTGGTAGAAATGCAACCGGCTGTTTGTGCTCAAGTTTCATAAACAAAGAAGTCGGTGACCACAAAGACAACATGTCCTCTTAAACCTCAGCAGAACGAGTCGCGCGCAGACTCACGGACGGCGTTCACACACAACTCAGGAGTGTGTTGGAAGAGAAATGAGCTCCAGCTGACAATGCTGGGGCCGGAGTGTTCTGCTCAGACAGGAGTGTGCATGTGGAGGAGGAGGAGGAGGAGGAGAAGAGGAAGAGGAGGAGGAAGGGGAGTATTAGGTTTGCAGAGGCGGGAGCGGTTTAAGTGCAGGAGGGAGGGACGGGGTGGGGGTTTGTTGGGCGAATTCCTCAGCTCGGCACAGATTCGAAGTGTGTGTAGTGAAAACCCTGACCAGACGGAGGTCAGATGCTCCGGCGTTTCCTCACACACCACCTCCTCCTCCTCCTGTTTCCTCCCCAGCGTCACGTGAAGGTGGTGTTGTGTGCTTGCGACTGTTCGTGTGTTTCTGTTTCGTGGTGTGGTTGTTCGATGCTTCAGTCAGGCTCGTGAAAAGGCCGCGACAGACGTTTCTGCTCGTCTCTTCCGCAAAGAGCAGGCATGATGGCGAGGCTACCTCTGCCGCTGACATCCACACGCCGCCCCCCGCCGCTTCCTGTCACGTGGCCGTCGCCTCCAGGTAGCTCTGTAGTTTGCGGACGGTGGACTCGTCCAATGAAAAGAGGTCAAAGTCAAAGGTGGTGTTTGTCACGTTAAAGTGGCCGGTCTCCTCGATCAGGTTGACAATCTGCAGGACAAAAACAGAAACTATTAAATTTTAGTCAGAAATGTGGACATGGTGCAGGAAGTAGCCACATTTCTTTGTGTTTTAGCTAAAAAAAATAATGCATTTCACTGGGATTTGATACTACAGACCAACACAGGAAAGTTAATAACTGTGATATGGAAGAAAAATGTTTAATTTATTATTTTTCTCTAACAATAGAAAGCCCAGATGCACCGATCCACTTTTTTTTTTTTTTTTACTTCCGATACCGATACCAAGATCTGAGATTTAGCTTCTGATACAGAAAAACAGTGCTGAACTGTCAAGTTTCTTTTTTCTTATTTTAATAAACGGATATAAATGTAATGAATTACAAATTATTTGATAACTCTCCACCAGTACAACAATTAAGTACACCAATAGCTTCATAGGTTTAGTCAAACATGTAGAAACTCAACAATAAAGAAACTGAGAAAAACAGGTTAACTCGGTCAAATATAAAAAATAAAGTGCAACAAATATTCAAAACTGAAGCAGAGAAAAATAACATGTTCGCTAATTGGTCAAATATAAAAAATAAAGTGTAAAGAATTTGAGTAGATTTGCTCTTATTGATACAGATATTAAAATCTGATTGGTGCGTCTCCAATAGACACTAGAAAAGTTGTCCATACATTTGTATTCATCACCCCTAAAATAAAATCCTCTTGATAAAATTAGAGCTCCAAGTCCTTTGAAGTTTTCATCTTTAGGTACTAAAAGGAGCGGTGTCATGTTTGTGCCATTTTACAGAACAAATGCGCAACAGTCGCTGCTTTCCATAACTAAAATGGGCAAAATTGTCAATATGTCACTAATTTTGAAAAAAAAACAACAACTTTTTAATGAGGTTTTTGGATTAAAATAATTACAATCGCATGTGAATAAGTTTGTTCACTCTATAAGTCGTTAAAAATCATGCGGCACCGTCATCATCCAACCACTTCCTGTTTTCTTCATATTTTCCGCCAGTAGTATCCGGTTGTTGATCATGTGACTTGTGATGCAAAATAAAATGTTTCCATTGCAAATTTTGACACATCCAAGAATGTACTTCATACTAAAGCAAAAACTTATCGCAAAATTGAGTCGTTCAGAAACTTCCATGTTTCCATTAAGCAGGTTTATTTTCTCAACTCCAGTTTTATGGTCAATGGAAACATTTACTGTTGCCTTCAGTTATAAAAATGCTGTATTTATCAAACATGACTTCAAATTGATCTTGTAATTTGATGCCTTGAAATTGGGGCTCTCTCTCTTTAAGAAGCTCCTGCTCTCTCTGACACTCCGCCTTCAGCTCATCTTCACAGTTATGCTGTGCACAGCCGTTCTGAGGCGTTTGCCAATTGCTGCAGCCGCTAGTCTAGAAGAGCTGAGTGGGGCAAATAAAGTGGAATGTATTCTTAATAATCCTCTACTTTCTGTTTATCAACGACATGAAACCTCTATAAAATTTCTGCTCTTTCGTAGAACAGGTTTAACTACAACAGGAGTAAATGTGGCAGAGAAAGTCGTATCGCCCACCTGCTGCAGGACGTTTCGCTCCCTTAATGCCATCAGTCTGCGGTGGAGGTCCACCAGCTCCTCTGTGTAGGCCTGCAGCATTCATGAAACAAGACGTCAGAAAACACAAAGTTCACAGGAAGACGTTAGTTGTTGACTGATTGATTCTTTGACAATTTTTTCTTTTTTCTCTAAGCTGAAACCAGTGGTGTCCAAACTTTTGACCCAAATCAGCAAAATGAAACTAGCTATTTAACAGAAATGCTAAATAAATAAAAAATATCGTGAGCTATTTCTTTTTAACTGCCGACTGATAAATCATCATGTAATATTTTAAAGAAACAACATAGAAAATAAGGAATTTCTATGATCTGAAAGGTGTCAGATGTTTTTTTTAATAAAACAAACTAAAGTTTTGGGTTGCATATTTTTTATTTTGTTGGTCTCGAGCAGGAGTCTGCAACCAGATGCTCCAGAGAACCAACTAAAGTTTTAAATACAGATGAATGCAGATTATTCTTTGTATTAAATCCTCTTTTGTCGTGGAATAATTGCATTGAATTTCTACAACAAGGCGATTTCTAAATCTATATTTTTTCCTTTCATTTTCCTTCTGCATCATCTCTGTTTAGTAGCGGCCCATTGAGGGCCACATAAAATTATTAAACTTTGGACACCCCTGGCTTACAGTAATATAACTGATCATGTTTAGGGTCAGAAATTATAATAATTTGACATATTGGTTGATTTATTGAACAACGTTGGGTGTTTTGATTCTCATACCAACAGAAAATCCAAACAAAAGTGTGTCGTTAAAAAGGTAAAATAGTCAAAGATTTGTTTCGTTTATTAACACAACTATTGCAGCAAAATGGTTATTTTATTTTTAAGTTTAGACATAAAAAGTTTGATTTACCCTTCCTACCTTGTCGTATCCCTTCTTCATCACCTTCTCCGAGCGAAAAGAGGAATCTGGACTTTTTCGGACAACCTGTGGCAGAAGATGGAGGCCAACCAGAGAGAGAGATGGATCGGAGATTTTAAAATAAAAAAACAAATTTTTTTACATTTTATTTTCATGTATTTCAACAGATGACTGACAAAAAATGCAAGACCGAATTATTTAACAACTGATTTAAAATGGGAAATAAATTTAGCAAACCGAGGCCTGTCACGATAAATTGTTTGATAACGATAAATTGTCCCAGAAGTTATTCTTTAGATTTTGAGACCATTTTCAAGTCATAATAATGCAAATGCATCCTCTCAAAGATCAATAATCTCTCATTTCTAATGAACATTTAACGCTGGAACTAGAAGACATTTTAAATTTCCCAAACAAATGAAACAAAAAAATAAAATGGATTTAGTATTTGTAAACAAAGCTGCCCTTCAAAATAAGGGGCTGATCTTCAGATTGAAGCTTTACGTCATCCAGTCTTCCTACCAATCATTTAAATGATTGAGCTCCTTTTAATTTATCATGCGACTAAATGATTAATTGCGACAAGCTGTAAGTTCACTCTGTTACCCAAGAGCTTGTACAGCTGCTTTAAGCGTCCATGAAACACAAACTTCATAAGATCTTGTTTTTGTCTCATATTATTCTGAGAAACTTGAACTTAAGCTCTTTGAAATGTTGCATCAGTTCGTTGTGGTTTTGCATGAGTTGGGTTATATCCGCTCATCAGACGCCGTTTATTAAATGACTGTACGCCTCCAGTCCTGCATGCGTTTTTTCTAAATGTAATTCTTCAATAGTCATTTCTACGATTCTTTAATCTGACTAAGTGTTTAATGTCTGAGCAGCACCAGAATCAAGACATGGCTCTAGCAGACGACTGAAACCCCCGTCGGCGCGCTGATTGAAAGCACAATAAAACGCTCGGTGGGAGACTCACTTTGTTGTTGGACGAGCCGTGTTTCTGTGGGGGTGGAGCGGGGTCTCGACTGGGGCGGTGCGATTCGTCGCTGCTGTCACTCTCGCTGTCCAGGCTGAGTCTGTCGGAGGCACAGGTCGAGGTCAGAGGTCATTCAAACAGACTAAAGGAACTCTGTCTGGCACTCGTAAATGCCCGTCTGCATCTGACGATGCGTAGAGACTCTTCGCAGCCAGTCAAGTGAATCAGTTTGACTGAACTACAATCTCTACCTGGCTTTAATAAAAAAAAAAAAACTGAAAATGCTGAGAATAAACCACAATCTGCATGTATAAAATACAGATTCTGGCTTAAAACTTTGTGATTTGGCTCAAACTGACCGAGAGTCGCGGTTGGGGGGGTTGGTTTTGATGGGCGTCCCTTCTTCTGAGCTGCTGTCGTCGTCGTCCGACTCTTCAGACTGGATCTCTTCCACCATGGATCTGAGCGGGCCTGAGAGACGAGAACAGAAACACGTCAGTTCTGTCATCTGAACAGATTAAAACGTTTTAATCCAACGATTTACCAAACCAACAGTTGGTGTCTCTGAAATGGAATGCAGTTGAGGCTGAAACTATTAATTTTAGGATTTTTTAGCAATTTATTTTGTTTAAAACAGGAGCGATACAAAGTTCACCGCAAGAGGAGAAACAAACTGTACCAGGTTATAATTTCCAAATGTCCTGATTGATTAAGTAACTGATTAATCAGTTATTCTGATGACTAAACTTGATTAATCAAAAAAAATAAATGGGCACATTTTGGAGACATTTCATTTAACCACTTACGCTTATTTTTTTACATTAGAAATGGTTAAAAAAGCAAATAAATTTTTTTAAATAATAAAAAGCATTTTATTTCTTATCTTTCTTATTCCTTGATCATTTCTGCTAAAATAATACTTTTAACATCTGAAAAGCTGCTCAATTTAAAATAAAGATGCTGATGTGTTTATTTTTTAGATAAACTAATAATTAAACAGCTAAATGTGCTTCATAGGAGATTTTAATATTTTTTATTTAAAGAATTTGAACCAGGTGAAGCTGTAACTGTGCCACTTGAAGAGTCGATTCACTGGACACTGGATTTGGGAATAAAATAATTAATTTAAAATCCGTATGCGTTCCCTGAAGACTTGAAGTGAAGACAATTGTAAGCCCAGGGTTAATTAAAAGGTTAATCACTAGAAACAACACAAATGACTAATTATTAAATCACCAAACTCACCTTGCCCTGGTTTTTGTCCAGGCTCAAAGTCCGAATCTGAACTGGAGTCAGAACTGGAAGTTGAGTTGGAAGGACTCGAAGCAGCCGATTGCTGGAAAAACAGAAATTTAAAAAGTACAACAGGTTAAATAAATATTAATAATATGAACAAATAAATGGGAAACATGAGTAGAATCAACTGAATACTTCATGTCTTAAGTTAATTGACACAAAAAAGTTCTAATTCTGCAGACAGCAGGCAAATGAAAACGTATCCAGTTAATCTTGAGTCCATTACAGATTAAGTTATTCTTGTTTTACTTGTGAATTGTTTTCCAAATTAATTTCTGTAAGAGGCATTTTCCAATGAAACATCTAGCAGACAAAAATCCTATTTTCAAAATAAATTTCAGGAAATTTACAAAAACAAAACAATGCAACCTTTTGTACAAGTTTAAAAAAATGCATACATCAATTCTCTTGCAGGAAGGAAAAACTAAAAATGACAAAATCATCATTATTAAAGAAAATCTGATAAATTAGACATTTACAGCAGCTCTAAAGTCATAAACGCATCCTGGTTTGTGTTTGTAGCAGCGGGTTTTAACTCTTCACCGTCGTATTTACCTAAAAATCCTCCTACCTCTGACTTTGACGACACTTCGTCCTCTGAATTGGACTCCTCCGACTCTGGAAGTTTCTTGAGCTCCTTCAGCTCCTGGGCATCGTTTTTGTTTTTGGGCGGCCAGCGGCCTTTCTCCTTGGAAGGTTTCTTCTCGCCGTAGGACTGGCTGATGGCCGAGGACGAGGAGACGCGCGGCGACGTCCCGGTGAACGCGCTGCCGGTCGGCCCCTTCAGCCCGTCGGAGCTGCCCTTCTTCTGCTTCTTGGCGCTGGGTTTGGGGGACTCCACGGTGGAGGGGCGCTTCCCCGGAGCTTTGGCCTCCACCGCTCCTCCTCCGCCTCCCCCGCCGCTTCCTGCCCCCCCTCCTTTGGGGGACATGCCGTCCATCTTCGACTCCTTCAGGGTGAGCTTGGGCTCCTTGAAGGCCGCCTTCGGCTGAACTTTCACTTCGTCCTTCACTTTGATCTCTGACGGCTTTTTTGAAGAGGAGGATGAGGAAGGGTCGCGACCGCTTTTGCTGCTCCCATCTCGGTCGTCGCCTTTGGACGACCCTTTGCTCTCAGAGTCTTTCCGCGATCGTTCACGGTGCTCCTTGGTCAGTTTGTGTGGTTTGGGTCCTTTGCTGCTGCCACCACTTCCTTCTTTGCTTGGTTCCTGAGGAGAGGAAAATAGCAGGACTTTCATCGGATCTACAAATTAAAATATGTAGGTTCAGGCTCATAAATGCTGCATTTTTGGAATTAAATTTTTACATTTATTAAATCTTGGGTAATTTTTGCACGTTTAAATGTTTGCTCATGAAGCTACACAAACTTAAATATGTTCAAATCAGTCAGTTTTTAAATAGCATCATTTTGATGGCCATCAATTTAAACTAATGTCTGCAGATAGAGATTATTTTAGTAACTGAGTATTCTACTAATTATTCTGATGATTAGCTGAAAAAATTAAATACATTGGTACATTCTGCAGATTTTTTACTTAACCACTTGTACAAGATTGAAAATACTCAAAAAAGCAAAAGAAAAACATTTTGTCACCTAAAATGTAACAACAGCATTCCTGTAATTAACGCTTCATTATTTATATGAAAGATCGAATCTGCAGCTACATAAATACTCCTAACATGTGAAACACTCAGTCCTTCCTGATTAACTCACTGAAGCTAACAATTGTTTTAATAATTGATCATTCTGACAATTTTTTTTTTTAAAAAGTGGCAAATTCTGCTAATTTTTCAACAATATCAGCTTGTTTTATACAATATTATAAATATAATAAGATGAAAATTTCTTTTTCACATAAGAAAAAAAAAACATCTTGCGGACTAAAATCTAATATATCATCCCCTTCGTGTATGTGTAGCTAAAACTATGCCACTTCAGTTCTGAGAAAAGGATATTTGCAGAAAAATATATATATTTTTTTATCTTAAATTCAAAATATTTTTATACAGTTTTGGGTTTATTATAGCTCTAAATGTGATGTTCTTTCAGCAAATGTCCTTTTTTTTTAAGTGTTTACTCCAGGTAACGATTCATCGATTCCTAAATTATTTGACAATTATGTAAATTAATCTGATTAATAGTTTCTCTACAGTTCAGTAACAGAGAAAGTTAGTCAGAATTTTTTAATTGTCCACCAAAATAAATGCGTTACCAGGGCTGAGACATTGAAACAGGAGAGATCTGAGCTCTTCTGTTTGCTCCAGATTCTCACTGCAGAGTTTTGGACCAACTGAAGGCAACAACGGATTTTGCATGACCCATGTTAAAAGAAATTACAAAAAAAAGTGTGTTGCAATAGTCTAGACGAGAGGAAATAAATGCATAACTAACCATCAAGTTCCTTTTTATTGTAACTCCCACCTTCTTAGTTTGGAAATATTTATCAACTTGCTTTGAGTGACCTTCAGGAGAAACTAGTTTGACCTAAAAGCTGATTTTAAAAGTTTAATCTGTTGATAAAAGTTTTCCGTTTTCAGAACTCAAAATTGTTGGAGCAGTGATAAATTAAATTCTGTACACTTTAATATTGTTTTAAATACTTCTGTTCTTCAAAACGTATCACGTCTAAGAAAACACTAAACATAAAAAATGTGTAGAAATTCACACATTAAATGCAAGTTACCTTGTTAATTACTTCAGGTGTTAAAGCTAACATGAACAAGAAAAGCATTAATTAAAATTACTTCAGGTTAAGTATTTAAAGTGGAGAAATGCTCAACATAAAGCAGATAAATAAGTTAATTTTACTGTAAATCAGGTTTTAGCAAGCATCTCTTCAATTAAAAACTAAAAATATGGATTTAAAAAGTCAAAAAAATAAAGTATTTGCTTTCCAGAGGTTCTCTACCATGGCCCTTAGAGCTCACTGTCCAGAATGTTTTTACTGCACCTCTGCTCCAGCACATCTAATTCAAATGAATGCATTACCTCCTCAGCTTACCATGCAATGCTGCAGAAGCCTGAAAATCACACATTCATTTAAGACAGGTGCCTGGCTGCTGGGGAAACACCCAAAACATGCAGGGCTAGACTGAAAACCAGGAATTATCAAGAAGATTTTTTTAGATTCTGGTTATATCTTAAAAAAAAAAAAAAAAACACACATAGAAATAGACGCCTGCAAAAGAATAAAGTCCTCGTCAGGTCTACTCTCCAACTGATTCATCTTTGAAAAATGCGAAGGAGTCAGTTTTCCTCCTAATGTGCACCCTCACTCCGCAGATAAGAAGAGAGAAATCCTGCACACGAATGCACAAAAACAGCTGGGAACAATTACTAACTCCAGTCAGCCTTTTTCTCAAAAAGGAAAAATATACATTTTTATTTCATCTATGCCTGCAAACGATGCGGACGGATCTCACGTGATCAAGGGGACTTTAACCAAATGATGTTTCTCCCTTTGTCCTACCTTTGATACATGAGAGGTCTTTGTCTTTTTGGGGTCTGAGAAGGCTGAGAGGGGGATGGTGGGAAGCATTGGGTAGTCCGGACTGGGCCTCGACATAGCTTCAGCCCCCTCAGGGACCACCAGTATCTGAAATTAAATACACATGAGTCACTGTGTTTCTCTGCCGACACTCAAAACCACCGGTAGACTCCAAGTTCAAAACGGGAGGCAGTAATTTGGAGAGGATTACAAAGAGGTTCAGCTCATTTGAAGTAAAGTTTTACTGTTTTGATCAACACAAAGCTTTTTGAAATTAATATGTGAGAACAGATGTTTGGTTTTGTTTTGTTGGTTTAGATTGGTGGTCAAAGCAAATGTTAATCCTTTCTAATATTGAAACGATTTCTAAGCAGATCATGCTGGAGCCTGGATTTGATTGGAAATGTTTTCGGTGACTATTGGCCTGCAGGTTTTTTATTTACATTTTTTTATTGGCACACTTGTGTGTTGCAGATTTCTGCTCAGGTCCCTCTTGAAAATGAGACCTGGATCTCAATGAGAGGGGTTTTCCTGGTTAAATAAAGGAAAAAATACTTGAATTACATTAAATATGTTCTGATAAAATACAAATGCTAAGTAGCAATTAACAATATATTTTTTTAATTTGTTTAATATTAAGACAACACACCAAAAGTTGTCCAAATACAGAAATATATCAAAACATTACGGATAAGATTCTGAAGAAACAAGTGTGGATTTCCAAGTTTGATCAATGGATTTGTACTCAAATAATAACATATGGAAAGACATGAAGAAAAGGAAGAATAAATTAAATGTTTCTCCATATAGAAGCCATTTTGAAAGTATCATTAACAAGAACGGCTTTTCAACAAAGTATTTAATACAATTTAGTTTGTTCAACACTTATGTTTTTATCAATTGTGTCTTTTCTACATGTGGATCACTTGAGTTGTTGAAAATATCTCGGGTGAATTTTATTAAATGTCGCCACTCTTGCAGGATTTTACTGTTTCCTTACAGTGACTTTAACATATCAGAGTTTTACCACTGACCACTGATTTGATTGGCTGACGCATTGTATCATTTATTTTCACACAGTGATGCTACAACTCACTTTTAAGCATTTTTTCTGAATAATTTAATGCTTTGGAAGCTGTGTACAGAGGCCAGAAACGCTCTCGTTGTTTTCAAAGCTTAACACAACCACAGGAACTGTATTTAATGAGTGAAATGAGAAATAAAATGGTCAGATTTTTACTGTAATCTGACCTAAAGTCCTCTTAGCTGTTGTTGAGTAAAGCTGTCAGTGACAGACTTACCCCTCCCGCCTTGATGAGCTTTTTCCTGAATTCTTTGGTGGGGTTGTTGAAGGTGAGTTTCTCACAGCGCAGGTGGTTAACGGGAGGGTTTCCCTCCAAGTTAAGGAACAGGTCATAATTGAAGATGACTTTTTTTGGCTCCTCCTGAACAAGAGAGAGAGGATTAAAACTTGCTTTACGTGCCACAACAGAAGCTGAATGAAACAAACAGTTTTTGTAATTAAAAAGTATTTCTGAATAATAATCACTGAATAATAAGTGACATTTCTTGGAAGGAAATTTTTAAGAAATCAGGAAGGAAATGAGAATTATGTACACTTAATGTTATGTCGACACCAAACTAATGTTAATAGCACAAACTGTTTCTCTTCCTTTTGAACTCCAACCATTTAAACTTTCACTAAGTCGCCAAGTTGCAAAATTAATTACAGAGAAATTATGTGAGCTCACAAATAGAAGTGAACTAATTTAGAGTTAAGAATCCGACTCTTAGAGACTGGCAAGTAAAATACTTGATTTGTTTTTATAAAACTAAACATCATTTAAATAAAATATCTACAAACATATAGTAGCATCAAACAAAGAAATTAAGGCAGAGATCTTCACAATAAAAGCTTTTCAAAATAAAAGCAGCACATTTGGATTTGCTAAATAAATTTTAATTTTGCTTTCATTTATAAATAACACAAGGTGCAGGGAACTCCAGTTTTTGAGAGCTTGTGTCATGCATGGTTTAGACCAGGGTGTCCAAAGTGTGGTGCATGGGCTATTTATGGCTCTCGAAATGATTTTGTTTGGCCCTTCACCAAAAGTCAACAAAAGGTAAAACATTTCGCCAATGAATAGAAAACAACGAATGCTTCAAAAAAAATTTAAAATTGTCTTTTAAAAAGGCATCTGAAGTCCTTTTTATGTTTTTAATCATTAATGATTTCCATTTTTGATGACTGTTTTTATTGCTTTTTTTGTGTTTTGTGATGTAAAGCACTTGTTGTAGAAATGTGCTGCACGAATAACTTGATTGAATAAAAATAAAATTATTATTGAGCGAGTAAAATTAAAAATAAATCAAATTAATTTTTTAATTTGACAGTTTGGACACCACTGGTTTAGATGTTTCCTTGCTTGAACGCACACACACAGACTTGAATGACGGCAACATTTTCAGGCTGCAGCAGAACTTGCTGAAAGGCTGAGGAGATAATTTGGTGATTTGAATCAGGTGTTGGAGCAGGGCCACGTCTAAAACCTGCGTCGACCCTTTGAGGACTGAAGTCGACCACTTCTCGAACAACAACAGGTTCCAACACATTCAACATCTGTCCGCACTCAAATGACACCAGATTCCACACACTTTAAGGATAGATGGAAGGACGTATGAAACATTTATGGAACAATTAATTAGGCATTTAAAAACAGCTTTTTTCCTCCTCTGTTATCCCACATTTTCTTTCTCCACACCATAAAATACGTGTAGTACTGTTGCGGCGTTCGCACCTTGTTCTTGAAGTAAACCTCGATAGGCATGATGAAGCCTGCGTAGCCCGATTCCTCCACTTTGTATGGAGGCTCCTTGCATACTGGAGACAGACACACACTCATCACTGACGATACTAATTTATATGTTCATATGAGTGATTTTAATCACAATATGTTGCAGGATATTTTGCTGTCATAAAAGTGACGACAAAGTATGTACAACTACTTTACCGTATCTTTTAATTCATCTGTAGTCTGACTGCTGCAGTCGAAGTCCCGTAACAAAACAGAATCCATTTTTATAACAGGCTTCTTCTACAGAAGTTAGATTTATTTTTTCACTAAAAATATTTTTTCACTAAAAAACTGCATTTTTTGGAGGAAATGCAGTCTATTGTTCTCAAAATAAAACAAATATTGTATCACGGTAAAAAAAAAAATCCCAATAATTATAAATATGATAAATACCCATCCCTAACTCAGTGTACTTTTCAGAATAATCCCAATTTAAAATAAACAGAATTAATAAAAACATTTCCAAATTGAAAACAATCGTTGTAAATTAAAATCAAAAACTTCTCAAATACCAAATGTTTAACTTTTTTGTTTCTTGTACCAGTCTACTTGAGCTTAATATGATGGAATAATTTAAAAACATTTGTTAAAATGGTCAAATTTGTATATCAATTCATAAGACTTTTAGAAATGTAAATTGGATTGATGGATTATTCTTCTTTGTTCATTTTTATTACACTTATATCTCTTATACAGATGATCATCTGTCCTTAATCTGACCTCTTTCAAAGCTTAAAGAACTGCTGAATTTCAGATGCATCACAAAAAAGAGAGCTTTGAATAAACAGTGTAAGTATATGCGTTTAAATCTAATGTTGAGCATTTACCTCTCTTGGGTTTGGGGAAGCTGTCATGCAGGCGGAAGACGACCCTCTCTACAAAGTGCTGGATGTCGCCGGTCTCTGGGCCTCTGACAAAAACCATCCAGTCGTGGGTGAAGCCTTCAGAGGTCACTTTCTTCTTCAGCTGAGCTCTGTGACCCAACTCCAGCTTCACCTGCACCGTGCACTGGAAAGGAACCAAGTTATATTAAAAAATGCATAAAAGGTTTATCAGGAGGCAGAGACTTCAGATCAACTTGCTCCAACCTCGTAATCTATGTGTATCGCTTCTTTTTTCTTGATAGCTTTATATTATCAAGCCAAAAATTGATGAGTTTCTTCATGTCAGCTTTGCTGAACATCTTTACAAGTCCAGCCACAGATTCACAGGTAGATCTCCATCAACGTTTGACATGCACATTTTGAAGTATCGCATCAGAAAAGGTTGATGGACATGGTCATATTCGAGATAAATTTATCAATTTCACAAACATGTTTTTAAGTTTGCTTTAACTTAGCAAATCAAGGTCCAAACACAGAGGGAGAGGACTTTCAGCCTGGAGTGGGCAGTCAGAGACAACCGAGGCTGGGATTGGAGTGGTGAGACGCTCCCACTCACTGGTGGGGTGGTGCCTTACCAGAGGAACGAAACTCTGAAAAATTTTCAAGTTCAAAACCCCAGCATGGAAGAAAGGACTCTGCAGTCAAGAAATTGTTTTTATCCTTTTATTTGTCAGTTATACTCCTAAAATGAGAATAAAGTGGTATTATTTTCCCATGCTTGGCCAAGCTTGTGAAATAACTGGTGTATTTAAGTGAGCTGTACTGGTGCAGTGTTATCAAATAAATTTGTAATTCAGTAAATTTCTGTCTACGTCTAAAAAAATAAACATTTTAAGTCAATTCACCTGTTTTTCTGTATTGGCTGAACCGACAGATCTCTGCATCAGAAGTGAAAAAAGTGCATCGGTCCATCCCTAATGGAAATATTTAATTACACTGATCTATAATGAAAATGACCTTTAGCATGAGCCCTGTCCAGGTGGCTTCATACCGCTTCTTCTGCGGTGATAAATTACAGCAGCAGAAACACCTTGCAAACTAAGCCGTCTTATGAAATAAACATAAGCGAAGCCAGCAACGCGATTAATCCGAGAACCCACTATTCATCATTTCCCCGATTCCACCTTGAACAAAAACCTTCAAGTCTCTGCTCAAAGTCTGGTGACACTTCAGAGGGGAAGGAAGGGCGGCGTCTGGAAAGACACAAAGCTGGACTGGTGTCGGGACGCTCTCAGTGAAATTAAGAGTAATTTGACGCCCAAGCAGCCCGATCTCAAAAGAGGAGTCCAGAAAAGGAGCGCATTATTGGACTACTGCTGTCTGCCACGGACAATAACAGGAGAGAGCCTCGCAAATGACGCTGTGATTATAGAAGATGAAGAGGAGTGCAGAAGGAGAACACCGAGACGGGGTGCTGGTGAGGAATGAAGTGGAGAGACGGGGGGGGGCAGAAAGGCACTTTATGTCCAGGGACGGCCTGAAGAATGTGGGGATTTGGAAATGGCACGGTGCGGCTCGTGAGTGGAGGGATTAGACGGGACGGGACCGCGATGAGCTCGTTTGGCGCTCACCTCCTCCCTGCCTGGCTCTCTGCCTGGCCATCCTGTGACAGTAATGCCCTTAAACTCCAGACTGCAGCGTGCCAACGGGGAGACGACGAGGGAGTCGCTCTGATCATTAACCACACCCTCCCCCACCGAGGAGTCGCAGAAAATCAGATAAGCAAAGCATAAAGAGAAAGGCTGGAGTGTTTTATTAAGCAACTGAATAGTTTACTGAATAGTTAAACTGAAGTTTAATTTTACACTGACATTTTATCAATTAATTCGGCTAATCTGATGCTGAATGGCTGGGAGTGGGTATGAATATCTGCCAATAATCAAGACGTATTAGCCCAACAGGCAATAAATGAGGGTGATGAATTACAGACGTGACAAATAGAGGGAAATTAATGAGCCACTCTTTTAATGACATAACAATCAATGAAGCCAATATTTCAAGTTAAGTATGGCTTAGTCATTTGCCCCAGCTCCTTGACTGCAAGAACTTTAAGCTTTTAATTGGACAAGATCCTGTAAATGGATAATATTTATGCTTTTGAATAAAAGTCATGCTCATAAAAATCGGTGTAAACATAATAAAATTAGACTTCAACCTGAGTACAATTTAAATCAGCTGAATAATAATATGAAGCTGTTTCAGATGAGTTTTCTTTTAAATTTTGATAATCGGTCGCAAAAATCAGTGCTTAATTTTTTATTTTGTTTGGACAAAAAAAAACACATTAGGAAATGTATTTTTGCAGAAAGACGAACAAAACATACAAACACAAAATAACCTTTTGAATTAAAGCAATACAATCAAGAGAAGTAGCATATTTACACATTAAAAATTGATATTGCCATGGAAATACAAACAGATAAATCAAGTGCTTACATACAATAATATTAAATCAAACTAAACTTTTATCATTTAAAGTCAATTAGAAATACCACCAGGATGTTTACTTGCTAAATGCCAAAATAATGTGAGTCAAACAATCAAGTTTTATTCCTCCTGACAGATCTGGTTTAACAGTCAGGATTTGGAGGAACGGTATTCTCAGGCTTGAAAGTTCTCCTTTTTTTTTTAATAATAAAAATTAAGGCCAAAAAGCCCTAACACAATAAATTTAGATGGACAATAAATTGTTCCAGACATTATGGTGATAAACGATACTATTGTTTTGAGACCATTTTCACATGATTTAGGCATAATAATGCAAGAACACCTTCTCAAACATTAAGAACATTTAGTACTGGAGCTGGAAAGACATTTTAATTAGCCAAAATAAACAAAAACAAATAAAATGGATTATGCCGTCTCAAATAAACAAAACATATTAGTCATTCAGCTCGGACAGCTATTACCAGCTTTCACCAACATCTTTCCAGGGTCTTTTGTTTTTCAGGGTTTTTACAGACATTTCATAACCCGTCTGCTTCCTGAACAGCATGATGGCTGCACAGTCTCATGTTGTATTTGCCTAATTGTTGGAACAGATGAACATATAACCATCAAGCATCTGGAAAGGATGACCCAAAGTTTCCTTCTCTGTAATTTTGCATGTTGAATCAGTTACATTATTATTAGGTGTGTAACGCACAAAAATTTTAAACCAAATGGTTTTTGGTTATTTTTTTCCCCTTTATTCAGCAAAAAAATACTCAAAACTTTCTGATAAATTAGGTTTAATCCAGGATAAGTATTTTTGTTTGATTTTCTCAATAAAATGATTACTATAAAACCACCTGGATATCATGTTGTTGCTTGGAAATGTTTTCATAAGACCGAGCCAATATTTGATGGTTGAATGATACATGGAGCTACGTTTGCATTTTAGCTGATTTTCCTCTCAACTAAAGATTTTAACATTTTGCTCTGAGTCATTCCAGGTGAGTAATAAAGTTCAGGTAAGAGTGAGCTAAAATATGACCTATCATTGTTGAGCAAAGCTTGAAAGCCATGAAATCATTAACTGGGCTTTCCAAATAAAGGTAGTTGGGAACTTCTGAATTGGCCTTTAGCAAAAATAATGTTGGCAATCCTAAATTACTAAAACAGGAAAGATTTAGTATCATTTACTGTCAGTAAATAAGTCAAGTCCACAACTTCAACTCTCTGTGTGCCAAATATTGCATTTAAGTAGTTGGATGGACTCTCAATATCCTAATTTCATTAAATGCTCGTGACCTTCACCAATAACACAGCGATACATTTGTCATATTTTAAGTTCCTTGGTGAGAATACCCCTCTAAGTCACAACATTGTCAGGAAAAGTAGCAATTATAAGTTACTAATAAATAAATAAAATCTATATTGTAGCTTTTTTAAAAATCCAAGTGTCTATTTTTCCATTAAAATCAAAGATCATATTAATTATAAAAAACAATGCAAGAAGAGAAAAAGCAAGCTTAAAACACCTGGATACCAATTACAGAAATAAAATGTTTATCTGAAATAATAATATGCAGACAAATTCACAATTTGAAGCAAAAATAGTGGATATTTCAATCAAAAGAAATGCAGGGGACTAAAAAGCAAATAAAGCAAAGCTGCTAAAACAGCGACGATGTGTGCATGACCACGCTGTTTTTTTCTCTCCAACTGAGGGGAAACACAAATTCTGGCAGACATGCTGGCTCCCATGAAAACAATGAACTCCCGGCGGCCATAAATAAATAACATCCATTAATCTCTTCAAGCTAATAAACGATTGAAAGAAAAGCAGGAACACTGACCCAAAGAGAGCACACACACAGGGACACCAAGCAATGACCAAATTTCCTTTGGGTGAAGATCAGACTATCATAGCCTACATCAGCAGGAACAGTGAAACGTTAATCTGTTTTGGAAAATCTTACGTCCTAAAGAGACACTGACCAATTACAAATACAGTCAGTGAGGCCTCCAGTGAAAGCAAGTGACCATTTGAAACTGGGTGTGTGAATTAGAGTGTAAGAAATTTAACAAGCTGCATGACAAATCAAACATGTCAACCCAGCTGCACTGATCCTGCAATAAGATCTGATCATAAGAAACCAGAGGAGATCAGATGCACATAAAGTCCCAATTCCTCTTTAGTTATAGACATATGAAGCAGCATGACCAAACAAACCACTGTGATGCAACGATATTCCAATTTCCCCAAGACTTTAATTCAAACAAAACATTGACAGACTTCTGTATTTCTTGGATTTGGTTCAGTTCATTCAAACGCCACACAACTCTGCAGAACACCTTGACATTTCAACCACTGCAGACTGACACACTTTGCTGTTGCAACATGATCTTCATAACACGACTGAGAATGACAACTCAATTACGGAGCTTTAACACAGAGTCAACTAATAGATACACTGAGAAATCATCTGTCAGCAAGAATCAGATGATACTGACCTTGATTAACACTGACCGGTGACAGGTCAGTCAGTCAGGGTTTCTTTAAAGGGGACATATAAAGCGATATCTGTCATATTTTTGAAATCTGTTCAGTTTCTCTATTCATTATTAGTCTTTTTGAACTATTACTTCACAAAACAAACAAGTTAATCAATTTCCGGCTAACCAATTTTGTGAATCCGCCATTTTTATTTCTCACATTATTTTCGGATTTAAATTGTGAAGGTGTGTTAACCCACAAATTTAATTACACCCAGCATCAGAGTCTTTTCTAAGTGGCTGGTTAAATGTTATTTTTCTTAGAAATGTACCCACACAGTGGGGGAAAATCCTCTTTATTTGCACAAAGAACTTCAAGGACGAGTGCCACTGGTATAAAGAAGGATTTGCCAAACGAGTGAAGGGTGAGTTCCTTCTGTCTATGGAAACGACGGACACAGTAAAGTGATTGATAAATTGTAAATTATGCTAAAAAGACAATCAGGTTTTATCCTGCTGAGCTTCTCCAGGACTTCTGTTTCAGTAATGCTAGCCAAACTAGCCACATCAACCAATATAAGCTGAGGAAAAATAGTGAAATGTGAATGGTATATTCATTTTCTGCTTTTAAATAATACCAAGACACCTTTTTAGATATTCTTATAATTCTTAGAGAAATATCAGTTGGCAAGGCTGATCAGAAATTGGCCATAAAATTGTGACTGGTCCATTTTTAGAGTTAATTTTTACTTTCGGTGTCTGTAAAAAAATAAAAACTATTTTCAAACTGATTAAAAATCCAGTTTTTGTCATTACTGTCCTTAATTTTGGAAATTGGTAGTTATGTTAATATCAAGATATGTGCACTGAAATAAACTTCAAGATGCTACCAAACCACAGAAGAAGAAAAACTTGTGTTTTTCTGGAATAAACAGAGAGGAGTGCAACATTTTTGGCAGATTTGAGCTGTTTCTTTGCAGGTGAACGTGAACACATCTTAAAAAAATGTAAAATATAGGACAGTGGTATTAAATACTTGTGATTAGCCCATTTTCCAATAGTAGTGACAAACCTGGAGTTTCAGTTAGAACAGACCAAAAAGCTGGAATTTGCTTTTAACTTTTACCAGAAGTCGACTTTGGGCGGTTGAGACTTCAAAGGGGGTCAACGCTGAATAGAGTCTAGCTCCATGAAAGTGGATGAGCCACTTTCCACGAGTGTGTGTGGCTTCACCCTGAAAACCCAGCCTCCTGCAGCCTCAGGCATTTGGGACGCACCAAGCTGCATTTCTTCCACAGACAGCAGATCTATAATTTGGCTTACTGAGCTTTCTGCATAAAATGTTCATCTTCAGATGTCATAAACCCTAAGTGAGCAATTTTGTACATTAATCAAATGTGGATTAGAAACTAACCCTTAAAATTATACAATACATTGTGAGGTCATGGAGACTGGATTCGCCACTAACACACACAGACTCCGATAGATTTACCTACATGCATTTTATCCTCTTTACCCAGAACATATAAAATACTAAAAACTACAGACTTCTGCCAACATTTAAATAGTTTTAAAGGGATTTTTCATGAGCAAATAAGACCAATAAAAGAAGAAATAGAGGGAAGACTTGTCTACAGAAGATGAACAGCGAGCAAAAAAAAACCCTACTTTCTGTTTGTTTTATAGTCTTAATGACAGGGTTTGTTTTAAAACACAGGGTTCATTATGCTCCCAATTACCGTAAAAGAGAACAACCCAACTAGGTTTGATTCATTAAGTCTTTTACAATGTGAATTAAACTATAATTATTTTAGGAACTTCTTCCTTTATATTCTTAGAAGATAAAAAAATGCAACCTATAAACACAAATGCTCTTTTCAGACATATTGGCACCTGAAATTTACAAAAAGCAAGAAAAACCTTGGAAATGGTAAAGATTGTGTCACTCTGTAGACAAATCCTGCTTTTGTCAATGCTACTAGGATTACAACTTGTACTAATTCAGCAGACTTTGTATCAATTCAATAATTTGAGTTGCTGCAAGAGAGTGGATTGAGTTTGATGAAAAGCTCAAAAACACTGTTGTTTTCTGGTTCCTAAATACAACACACATAATCACTACTGGATCTGGTTGACATGGTTGGATGGTGTTACTGAGTGAAGACGACTCAAGTTAGCTACATTTAAAAAAAAAACAACTGATTTGATACATGAGCACTTAAATAGCATAGGATCAGATTTCTATCAGATATCTCAGCATTTAACATCAATATTTACTATAAAAAAGAATGTAAGCAGAATGACTTTCTTCTTGTGAGCCTTCATTCTCTGCTGCTGTTTAAACATTAGAAATATCAAATTATAAACTATAGAAAATCACTACTACAAATCAGCTCATACAGTTAGCAGCAGCATAACCACTAAAACCATTTCATTTATTAACAATTGTTGGCAATATCAATTTTTATCTACAAACTATGCTTTTCAGTTATTCTGGGTAACAACATAGTCTGTGTTGTAAATTGAGGGACAATTGTTCTAGCAATGCCGTAGGTGTCTTACTTTTTAATTTACACACATGCTTGTATTATTTGAACATTAGATTTTAGTCCTTCAGTTCAAAGCATCAGTTTGGCATACTTTATTTCTATTATTTAGCTAACACACCTCTTAGGATCTTGTCCTTCTCTACTCATGTGGCTTCTGACCATTTTTACCTCCTACAATTTAAAATCAGGTCTACTTCACATCTGTAATATTGAAATTCATACTTTTCCTAATTAAGATATCTGTCCATTTTATATACAAACCTAAGATAAATGGGGGGGGAGTCACTGAATTACAAAAATAAATTATAAAATATCAGAAAATTTTCAGGTATTGTTACCCCTCTAGATAAATAGATAATTATGTGTATTTTCATATGTACAATAGGTGAAAATAGATATTTTTTAAGTCAGTGGAGGAAATAAATAGAGGTACGTATGTAAAATAATGCATTTTTTTTGATGAACTGATGGAAATGTGTGTGCAGTGATGAGTGGCTCTACTGGAAAAATATATATTTATGTAACAATACAAGTAACAGTGGATGTATGGATGGGAAAACTATGTATTGATGAATGAATGAAAAATATATGCATGCATCTATGAAGTATTGAGAGATAGATTTATGAATAGATGGTGGATGGAAGGAAAAATAATTGTGAAAGTAAATACAGATGTATTGTTTGAATCAATGGATAACTGCATGCACGAAAAGAAAAACAGATATCTGGACAAATGCATGGGTGCAACTTTTGGACAATGATTTAAGTAATCTGGAAATATAAACATTTCTTCCTCATCCAACCTGGAAAACACCTACTACTAAATTCCACACTTTTCCATTCTGCGTAGAAACCCTGTGCAGTCCTGAAGGTGGTGAACATTAACCAGCTGTGAGCAAATAATGCAAATATACTCCAGCGTGTTGTAAGATTCCTGTCGTTATCAGCTCCTCTGTGTTGTTCAGATTTCAGGCCGTTGGCGGCGGAGACAACACCGCCGCCAGCCTCAGCAGCCTAACCTGGGGCAGGACAAATCTTTTCCCCCAGCGCCTTGTAGCTGCTCCTTAGCCTTTAGCCAACGGCCGACACTCTCCTCATACATAAATTAGCTTAGCTTAGCTTCACCAAAAGCCCCGATATAAACTGACTGTCGCGAGCTGTAAGCGGTTTGCGTGTGTTTCTGAAGGAACCAGGGCAGAATAAAAACCCAAGCGGGGGTCTCTTTGTGTGCTTGGATGTGGCTAGGCAGCGGTGCTGAGTGCTGTAGTAGTAAATACCGATATATGAGTGCCCAGCTAGCACAGCTCCAGAGCCAAACAACTACGAGTTTTTTTTTTCTCCCCTTTCTCACGCGCAGAAAGGAAGATTCATTTCTCCCCTGCCAACCAACCGCCTGCGTGCTGCCCCTTTCCCCGCAAAAACCTCCCATTCCGAAAGGAGACACGAACCGTACCTGGTTCTCCATGTTTCTCCGGCCTCTGTGATTGTTGTAATTATTTACAGCGGCGTTTGTGGAGCGTCTCCCCGGCCTCTCTGCTCCTCATTGTGTGTCAATCCAGCCCCAGAAGCGGAAGGCAGACGGCTCCCCTCCCCTTCCAGACGGCTGCTGGCAGGCGACCAAAACAGAAAGCCCTTCGGACCAATCAGAGCGCTCCGAATTCAAGCCCTACTCTGAAAATTGGCCAATCGGAAGAGGGAAAAGGCGGGACAATAACCGAGCTGCAAATACAATTGAAGCATTTTCTGGTTGTTGTCTCGAGTGACAGCAAGAGAGTCCCAATAGTTACGGCTCAGTTTCAATTATAAAATGCACTCGATGCTAATTGATTATAAATGAATGGAAAACAGAATTTTACTCACATATTCAGTGGCTTAAGAAAGTATTCACACATCTTTAATTTTCTTACATTTTGACATGTTGAAAACACTGGGTTTAATGCATTTTAATAGGATTTTATGTAAAAACCAGCACAAAGTAGCTCATATTCAGGGAACAAATGTGCCTTTTCCAATAAAATTCTGCAACCTGATGGTAGATTTAAAGAATCATGATTAGGTCAAGAAGGAGAAGAAGTGGTGGTGGTTGAGGTGTATAAATAACTCAGTGTTCACCTGTACAGTGCAACATTTCCTGCCATCAACTGTTGGAGTTCCAGCAAAAAACAAAAAGTATCTACAACCTGATAAAGAAGGCTGGTGCTGTTCTGGCGGCTACTGTGGAACCGCTGGAGATGTTGATCCAAAGAAGGATTTTTCATAAAATCAAGAAAATTATTAACAACTTTCAAAATTCAGTCAGAGGCTTCTTTAGGGCCGCTGTAATACAGACTGCTGCATGTCATTCCTGTTCACAGCCATCAGCATCCACAACAACTCTTTAAAGAACCTTAGATAAAAAGTTACAACCATCCTTTGGGACTAATATTTTTTAATTTGAGAGTTCCACCTGACTGGTAAACAAAGAAAAACATATATTCAATGGAGAACATTTAAGAAATCTTAATAAAGTGTATCATAAACTGTTGATTAATCACATTTACCGATATGTGATTAACTCTTGAGTCTGTCCAGGCTTCCAAATGTATCCCACTGCTCTTGTTTCTCTAAAAAGGGCAGTAAAAATGATGTTGAACTTGAGCTCTGCAGGCGCTATCACACGTAAATCTCATCTGTCATCTCTATTATAGTATTATTTATATTGTAAAGTAAATCCAATGACAACAAAGGACTCTATAAATAGCAATAAACTGAAACGTCTGATGATACTAAGAAATAAAGTATTTATGGGGCGGTAACCAATTAGTCTTCATGAGGTCATAATTCGTCAGTGCAGCTGTCATGATTTAATTCCCTACTTAAGATCTCTGCTGCATGTCTCTGTCTGACTATAAATGGAAATCATTAGTGTCACAAAGTCTTAATTAGAACAATAACTACAGCACAGATGTACAATACTTGATTGATTTCTTCTTTTTTTTCAGCTGGTAATTTTGACTTAATGGGTACAATAAATATGCACTACCTGGCGTTGTTTAAAAACACCTAAAATACCTTGACTGACTGATATTTTTAGCTATTTAGCTTTTTTAGCTTTAAGAATGAGAAATATAGGAAAGTCAAAACAATCATTCAGGATTTTTATACTTCTCATAATACTTTGTATTTCATACACATGAAGCCCAACTTGACACACTGTATAATACATTTGGTCCTGTGAAATTAACCAGCATCATGTATTTTCCTTTACACAAATGATAGGTACCACTGTTTCAAAATTAGAATAACATCAAAAAGGTAATTTATTAAAGTGGTTCAATTTAAAAAGTGAAACTCGTATATCAACTAACTACATAGAGAATTTTAACTATTTTATTTTTATCTTATTTTATTTATTTAATAGTTGTTTAATTGGATTGGGAACAAATTATATTTTCCACAACAACATGTTGAGAAAACATTAAAAACATGTTTTTCTATTAATTAAAGAAAATATGGCTTACATGCTTATGAAAGTCTAAAATTAAATTTCTCAGAAAATAGTTTTGGATTAAAAATTATTATTTTCGACTGAATGTTATGTTCAAGTTATATCTTAAACAATTATGGGTAAAACTACTGACATATCAGTTGTTCCAGCAGCAGTCAGTGACACCATCAAATGTAGCATCAAATGTATTAATTTAAAGTTGAGTGGAAGGAAAAAGTATGGCAGAAAAGCACGGATAATGGCAGCGAACAGAGGAGAAATTGGAGGAAAATTCACCAGCAGTGAACTGCAGATTAATCTGTGCTTCAACAACCGTCTGTCCATCCCAAACATAAATATTTTACTGGTTATATATCATAAATGAACACAGATAAATAATTGAGTTTCACATTTTGAAAGGAATTATTTAAATAAATGGATTTTTGAATGATATTCAAATTTTCTTCTGAATTTTCTCTTAAATCTATCAATCATTGTATGGATTGTCATCAAGGATTGGGTGTTTGAGTACCAACAATATCTTCCACAACCTCCTTTGAATACTTTAAGGCTTTAAAATGGATGAATTTACATAATAAAATTTTAAAATATATTGAACTATAAACAAGAAATCAAACATACTCATATTGTAAAAGTGTATTCCTAGGAGTGAATGAAATAAATATAATGGCTAAATCAGTTATTATTTTGACAACTTATGATTAAGTTTTTAATGAATGACCTTAATTACATATTTTATTTAACAGATAATAACGCTTGAGTCCTATTTGTTGTAATTAGACAAAATAGATAGTGGGAAATTTGATTTTTTTATTTTTATTTTTTGTAGAGTTTTTGTAGATTTTTTGTAGATTTCATTTTTATTATATTAAAAAAAAGAGACAACCACACTTTAATAAAACTTTCGGATCCAGTTCAGTACATGTGCTCCGTTTCCTAAACTGAACGTTCATTTGCCCAGGATAACGCTACCAGGGCGGCAGAAGTGAACAGATTCCTCTTGTAGCAGCAGAACGTCAGACCTGAGTCTGGCGTTCTTTTGCTGCCATCTAGTGGTGAAAAGCAGGAAACTTTTCTCAAACTTTTTCATTGTGCTCAATCAGGACAACCTTGGTCCCATTTGACCATAAAACCAGTCAACATAAGGCCAGGAACTAGTTGTTGGTTACAACAACCTGGTTTTTTAAGGGAGAATTAACCAAAGATTAATTTATAGCCTGTTTGGATTAGAGAAAATCCACAGTAAGGTCAAAGTTGTGCAGCGAACACAAGTTTATTAAAGTTGCTTGTTGCATAATCACTTCACCTATGTAACATTTTTATTTGCACTTTTCAACAGCTTTGACTACTTAGTTTGATCCTAAGTAGTTCCTGTGGAACGTGAGTCTGTGTGTGGAAAGGATCCATTGTTGTATTTATAATGTTCTCTAAATTGTAAATGGACTGAATTTCCAATCATTTTTGACCACTCAAAGCACTTTACACTAGAGTCACATTCACCTATTCACACTCATGGGGTTAAGTGTCTGCCCAAGGGCACATGGAACCTGGAATTGAACCTGCAACCTTCCGATCACAAGATGACAACTCTTCCCACAGTCACAGTCACCCCTCTAAATATCATACAATCCAACAAATAAAAGTTTTTAAACTCTACTGCTCTATTTTCTAAAAGGTGAAGACCAAATAAACATATGATATATTTCTGAAAACAATTTATTTAAAATGAGACGACTCACCTCACGTTGACAGCTCATTCTGGTTGTTATTGCTGTAAACCTGCTGTACACTGAAGGATCATTAACATAACACACAAACGCATGTTTCTGTAGTGAATCACTTCAGAAAACCAGCAAACAAACACTGAATCTCAAGGAAAGCAAAACTTTCATCAAAGAATAAGTCGATATCTAACATAAATACAAGAAACCCACCAAAAGAAAACAGCATTACAATAAACACTCATTAAAAAAAAATCTAACTTGCAGGTTTTTTCACAGAATTAATTTTCATAAAAACACAAACATTTTTAGAAAACAGAATATCATTTTCATTTTTAAACATCAACATGAGGAACGCTCCAATATAAACTCCCTTTCACAGTCAGCAGTCATGCCATATACAATACTTTGATTTATTTTAGAGCATTAAAATGTAAAAATTAGTGTCAAATAAACAAACAATAATGAAATTAAATTAAGTAGTTCACACATTCAGGTACTAGAACACAGAAAAATGTAAGAAAAAAATCAACAAAAGGAGAATTTAAATCAGTCATATTATTAAATGTTAGATTTTAAGTAGATTTCATATACATAGTAATTGATAAAAAGTTCAAACAAAAGTTTAACTTTTTCACAATATGCAATCAGGGTTAGTGTAAAAATGCAAATTAGAAGGTAAAATGTTATTCTTTATAAATGGAACCAAATCAAGATTTCTCAATATTTGTAAGAAAAAAAAATTATATGTGAAGGTTGATTATTGCTGTTAAATTCTTCTTAAGTTCTCAATAAGAAAAGAGTCAAAGACAGAAAGTCTTTATTAAAACAATAATACTATGAAAAAAAGCTTTATGATCAGAAAAACAATAAAAACAATTTATTTGCCTGAGATGTATAGAAAAAATAAACTAAATAAAACAATCTAAATAAATAAATGGGATTTCGATAAAACTTCCAGAGAATAAATGAAATCAAAGCAGTTTTCAGTTTTGTTGTTTGTTTCTTATGTAAATCAGAAATAATAAATAATGGCAAAGATGGTAATTGTAAATAATTTGGTAATTTGGTAAAGAATGGCAATGGCAGTATTACAGTTGAAGACAAATATCTCACACAAAATTAAGAAGTGATAAATGAAAATAAAATCCAATTTTTGCAATGGAATGCCCTAAAACCTCCCAAAAAATAAATAAAATTATTCTAGCAAGATGGGTCACAACCAGACTGGGAAATTTGCTCAAGCATCAGTAATATTAAAACTCTTTATATGCATTCGGAAGAATCAAGTTCTGGACATCTTTTGAAAAACTACTAAACTTACTAAAAAAATACATAAAAAATATGATCAATTATTAAAGTAAACTAGAATTTAATACCTGAAGTTAAAATATAAAACATCATTTCAGTGTACAAGTGACAGTTGGTGTGTGCCGGTTCACATTTAAAAAACTGAAACGCTAAATAAAATGTTACAATGATTACTCCCATTTTCAGATAACATTTTTTTTTAAAGGACACTTTGGTTGGATTTTTTATTTTTATTTTTTATTTTTTGCCAATAACTGACTACCTTTGCAGCATATTGAGCTAGGGGCTTGTTTTCTATATTTATCCCTCTTTGCAAGTGGATCCTACTGATTTTTTGTAACCTCTTTGCAAACTATGATCTGAACTGAAGGATACAAAATACTGCAAGGAGAACTGGACGAACTGAAATAAAAGAAAATTAATCACTTCTTCACCATCACAAGCTGGTACAAAAAGCTGGAGCAAATTTTCCCCTGAGAATAAGGAAATGTAAACATAGCAGCAGTGTTGGCTATGCTTCGCTAGCCTCTTTGTCTGCTTCAGGGCAGCTTTCAGACTTTTTTCTTGCTGCTTTTAATGTTATTAAAGGAATAATTTAAAGACATTAGCAGTCATTATTTTTATCTTTTATCTGCAATGAATAGCGTTCTTGAACAGCGTTTTGGGAGAATAACTCACCAGGAAGTTATGCTAGCAATTAGCTAGGCTAACTCTAATTTTAAAGATTTTGGTCACATTCAAGCATCTTCAAATGTTAAAATGTTTTATATTAATTCACTTTAGTACCATTTTATACATGTTTACAAAGCAAAAAATTAGCATAAGTTTCTGCTGTACTGTTCTTTACATGTAATTAAACATCGCAATGTTAAATTGCAATGATGTTGCAATATTTAATTACTACTAAGCTAGTAGAAAACTTATCTACTAGCTTAGATAAGTTTTCGCTATGCAGCACTTAGGTACAAATTTTTTTATACTGTAAAGTGCTTCAAATTCTCTTTTTGCTGCTTAAACAAAAACCTCTTTTGAGGAAATGCTGAGATGAATGTTTTGTCAACAACTAAACTCATTATCCTTTATGATTATATTGTTTTGGTGGCTACAGATATACATTTAAATGCTAACTTCAGTCTAAGCAGTGACATTTATCAGTAGGATTCAGATGCAAGGCAATTCAGTTGTTAAGCAAACATTTGACAACAAAAGAAATGCCAGGGGTAATGATTCGTCAGCACCGTTTTTGGGTCTTTGGAGAGCTGGAGAGAACAATGTGGGGGAATCCAACGGCCCATTTATCACAGGGCCAGTACTCCAGTCCAGGCAGCGAATAAGGTATTTCATTGCTGGCATCCAGATAAGCTACCAGCGTGCTGCCATAGGCTACAGCCATCACAATGAGAATGTGCCTGAAAGACAGATAAAACAGAATATGCACAATGATATCCTGCTTAAATTGTTTATCTGCCATTAGCACATTGAGCGGTGCATACGCAAGGTTGATTGTCTCTTTTTGACCAGGACCGTTATGTTTCTTCAGACAGAAATAATAGAACTGGGCAGATTTGGGGAACTCAATCGTTTCACAGATGATCTTTCTCACATTATACTGTTGAGACATAATGATAACAAATATGTTGCTTTAACCCTTTCATGCACAGCAGTCACTGCAGCGGACAGCTGTTCTAGAAGCCATTTTCTTTTGCTTCTTGTGGATTTTTATGTTATAAATGCACACAAACCACTGAAGTGGACACAAGCATTAATGTCTATGGACACAAGTGTATCGTACAACACACTGCCAACTACTGGCCATCAACTGCAAGTGCAAGAAATTATCCAATATGGTCGACAGACGTAAAACAAGCCGACCAACTCAGGAATATCCAAGACCCCCCTCCTACTGTGGAAAACTTTTGCAGGTAAAAAAAAATATATATATTGTGACATCAAGTAAAAACTAATACTACTATTTTCTCCAAATAACAACTTTGTATTTGGAGAAAATTACAACTAGAAAAAAAAATCTTTTTTTTATTCCCTCCTTTTTTGTGTTTTAAGAAAATCAAAAATACTGGAAAGAAATCAGGACATAAAGGATATAAATTAATGCATGAAAGGGTTAATAAGAAAGAGGATTGCTTTTTTACATTGATAAATTAAAGGTAAGGTTACCTATGTCTGACTTTAAGCTTAATTTGAAATGTTACAGAAAAGCACAGCCCTGTTTTCTGTGAGTAAAACAAGTCTGATATATTCAGGAAGTGACCAGAGGTCTTACCAGATCCCGTGAAGGTAGCAGAAGTTTAACCACTGCCAGAAACTGCAGCACAAACGGTCGCTAATCCAGCAGGAGATGGCAAGGACCCACAGAGCCACTGACAGCTTGGCCAGACGTAGAGCCTTCTGGTCAGTGCAGCTGAGGTTAAGAAAAGATCTGTCGTCACACTGAAAGCAAAAAGCTGTGTGTTTTGAAGTTTCACAGAATGAAAAACCTTATTTTTATTTACCATCTCATCTCCACAGCCAAGGTGTACAGAAGGTGGAGGCCAAAACAGTTTAAGGCGTAGGCGTTGGCCGTGGGTTTGACAAACGATGACACAGTAGTAATGACAGTGATCAACAGGACGAGCCGCGAAAATGTAGACCTGTGGTTGGGAAGTCGGTGGAGAAAGTTTCAGGAAACATTTAGGAATATTTTATTTACATAATGCTCAACTGAAAAAAACAAATGCATGAAGGAAAACGAGGGTTTAACACAAGAGAAGAATGATGGATCTGTGTAACGCAGAAGCCTCAAACTAAAATGAACTGATAAAACTGTAAAGATGTCTCATTATTTGAGGGTCACTTGCACAAAAACACCACAAATATTTCTGAAACTAACATTTTAATTCAAAAACTCAATAATAACATGACAATACCCCAAATCATGTACAACTAATTATGTTCATAAATGACCAACTGAAGCTTGTCAGTAAACTAACAAATAAACACGCTGGCACTTTCTTTCTTTCCAAACTCTGACAGCTCTTCTATTATTTATTTAATAATTATCAAAATAAAAACTCAAACCTAAGTAAAAGTATTCGTTTTGTCTGTCTGCGAATAGTTTTCATTGTAAAAATGAGGTATACGGTTTCTCAACTTTTGAGTCAAATAGTTTTTATTTCATTGGTTGAGAAAATGTTTTTAGTCTGCAGACATTAATGAATGGCTGCACCAAAATTTGACTTTCAATAAAAATGTTATTTTAGTTCCCTCAGTTCTTCCTATTTTGAGCTTTTTTGAGGTTTCTTGATCCAAATAAGCCGTTGCTGGCCACGCACACTAACTCAACGCTTTACACTTGCACGTGAAAATAGATTCTGCAAATAGATACACAATTATATCACTGCAACTCGACCGGGGTTGCTAGGTAATGGGGCTGGGCTCGGCTGGGGTTGCTAGGTAACAGAGTAATGCCTGGGTTTTCCAGACAGCTTTTACTTGAGGGCCAAATCTGTACCTTTCTTGAACTCCAGGTTGAAACAACACAAAATTATTCCTCAATCTAGAATAATGAATCTTGTTGTGTGACTGCCTCTTTGGACAGGACAGGTTTTCACGGCGTACATAAACAGTTCTTTGTTTCTTCTTTAAAGGCCTATTGAGGTGTGTGTAGTTTTAAATGACAGTGAAAATACTAGCAGACTTTGTGCTAACTTGTCGTAGGGTAGGGCAGTGATTTGTCATCTGGTTCAGTGTTTTAAAGGTAAACTTACCTGTCTTTGATAAAAGAGGGAAACAGTTTACGAGGGAACCAAGTGGCATATCCCACAGCTAACACCCACAAGATGGAGAGCTCATCCAGCATCTGGCCAACGAAGCTAAGAGTCATGTGGAAGTATGCAGAGAAAAGTCCTGCAGAAAAACAAACTGTTACTGGAATATATTCCTGCTTTTCACAAACACATAAGATGAACATATGAAAACTGAGGATTTGTGGAGTTCTCACATCTCTAAGAGCTACAGGTTGACGTTTTACAGCTATACTGAAAACTACAATAGATGTAAGATTACACTTTGGTAGGACTTTTTTCAAAATCTGTATTATTGGTTTTGAACCATCTAAAAAGTATTGTAGTAAAAAATGAATAAATACTGACACATTTTTGTAATTCTAAAAGCTTTTAGTATACATCTGATATTTTTTAATATCCATGCAGCCGTCCAGCAATGTTACTAGACCTGGTTGCATGTATAACAAAAAACAAACCTAAAGTTAATTTTGAAAATATATTTGGCTTTATAAATGTTTAAATATGAAAAGAGAGTGGTACTCTGACATAAAAATTAATCAAATTTAAATACAATAAATAAATAATAACTAACTAAATAAATAAACAAATAAAATCCTCCACAATATATTTATATTGTTTTTCACTGACCTTCCAATTAAACCTCATCCAAATAATTCCTATAAAATAAACAAACTGGAATATTTTTTAACACTACAGCCTTTATATTTTTCAACTGAAGACATTTTAATTAGCAGTCCATGATTTTCTGTTTCTCTTGAGTACAGCTATGATTCCTATTCGCCATTCTTCAAAATGGGAAAGACAAGAGTACATGCTATTCAAGTAAAACAAATGAATGTTGATGTTTATCACTTAAACTTGTTCATATCAACAATCAGAGCAACAACAAAAAAAGTTTAGACAAGTCTAAATGTAACAAATGAGTAATTTCTGTTCTACTATCACAAATGTAAACAAGCAGATATTTAAAAATGCTGCAGTGAATTTAAGTGAACCATGGGCTTTGGTGAAATAGAGCAGCAACAAAAACCCCCAAGTGTGTTTGGCATAAAACAATGGTTAAGTATGGTGGAGGAGATGTAATGCTGTGGGCCTGTCGCTTTAAAAAACTCTAGATATACTTTGGGAAGATCAGAAAAATATTATAATGGTTTAGCCCAATGTTAGCTGTCTCCAGTATGTTTTTGCTTATTTTATTTTTATTTTACTAATATAAAAAATAGTAATTCAATGGTCCAATACAATCAAATAAATTAAAACGGACTTGCCTACAAAAATCATCATGATCCAGACCATGTGGATTGCCAGGCTCCTCTGCTTCGCATAGGGATGCAGCAGATAGAGCATTATAGGAGCAACAATGAAGAAGAAAAAGCTGCTGACCTGCAGGAAAACAACAAATCAACAAGCAAGAAGGTGCAAAATGACTTTAAACATCATCAAACTATAGAAACTGATCATTCCTGCATGATGCGCTGTCTGAGGAGCTTACTGTGTTGAAATACTCCACGACATGTTCAGAGTATCTGTAATTGTCTTCACACCAGTCAAGTTCTGAGCTCTCATAGGCAAAAACGTTGGCCATCTTTTCACTGGAATAGACGCCTAGAAGAGGCAGCGAGAAAAAGAGAAACATCAGAAAAATAAACATCAGGTGGAGCACACCTGCACCTGTACACATTCAAATAAAGCTGTGCATGCCATTTCCATTCCAACTGAACAATTAAATGTGTGGTTCATGAAAATCAGTTTCCTTTCCCTCTGTGTGTTGATTTTATGTGTAAGAATTTTACTTCTTTTTGTTGTTAAAGCTGTGAGGTTTTTTTTTATTACTTTGCTCAGATAACACATTTACAAACAAAGCAGATTTAGATTTAGGCTGTTTTCACTTGATAGTCTACTAGACTATCAGCTTCAAATTACAACATTTGTTACATTTTCAGCTGGTGTGATTTCACACTGCACTGTGTCAAATGAACCAGACTCTTTGAAAAACCTGTTCACCTCCTTACCTGTGGTGGCGCTGCACCAAGAACTGCTGAAGGAAATGACAACAAAATCTCTAAAAAACACATAAGAACAACTTCCTTCTGCACAAAATGTAAACAAAAATGGAGTAGCATCAGATTTTAGCAGTTGTAGGATTTCTCTTTTGTCTTTGGTAAAAGACCACAAGCCATTTCTCCTGCTAGCATGAGACTCTCACGTTTGTTTTGGTTGTATTTACCCAGAATGCCCTGCACTATAGTCCACTTCCTGCTCTTGGAGCAGTCTATGTTTCTGCTTGGCATTCACATATGCATTCGAGTTTGCTTCAAACAAACTGAGGACTGAGATTTTTAGGGTTTGAGTTTGATTATTGTCAGAAAGGGTGTTCCATACAGGTTCATTCTGCAGACATCAGTCTTTAAAAGAAATGTAAAAGTTTAGAAATATTGAGATCCCCCCAACTGGCTCCAAATTATCGGGCTGTTTTCCAGCTTAACGTGCTGGAGATGACATCCTGAGTTTAAGGGTTTTGCAGATTTCCACTGCATCCACATTAAATTTTAGGACCCGTCTTTTCCTTTAAGGGTTGAGTAGATAAATTGATGCTTTAAATGGGCACTGCAACCTTTGTAACATAGAAAAACCTTGAAGAAACACAATATAAAGCTGTGGTTGTCCTGCATTTTTAGGTATTTCCCTGATACAACACTCTTGACTTGTTGCACCAGAAGAGGAAATGCAATCATTTGAATCAGGTTTGCTGGAATCTAACCCACATAAGGTCAAAATGTACCGTATGAACTTTTGTCAATCACACATTTTCAATGAGCTGATAACTCAGCAATGAAATTAATCTTTGGCCCACTAAATACACTCCCTATGTATCACTGTACACACAGGGCTATATATTACATTTTCATGTCAAGCATTTCAGTAATTTGTTTTTCTGTGTTTACAATCTGTCATTCAGTCTGGTCCTTCCTGTTTGTCAGCCTCTGAATAAACTGTCAACATTTTGCTTTTTCTCTTTCTCTTTTTGTCCTCCATTTTCTGAATGACTTATGAAGGCACAAGTTAAACAAACAATTGCAGTTCTGATTTACGCCCGATGTTATCTTTTTTCAAAGTTAAAGTGTAACCAACCTTCCTGTGAAAGCATAACCCTACCCACAAACATTTTTTTTAACAAAATTGCCAATGTGCTACGGAAATGCTAAAACTTCTGTTTTAGCATTTCCGTATTCTTTAGGCTACTTCCGGTGCGCAGTACGTTAGCAATGGCTCCTCAGTCGCTGTAGGACTATTAGTGATGTTTATATAATTATTCAGACATTCTCAAAAGCTCCAACAATGACAAAGGATTTAAGCTGTATGTGTCAAACTTCATAAAGAACTTCGAAGGTAAGTTAATAAATCGTTTAAGTGTTTACCAAAAGGCCTCATTTGTCTAACATAGCTAACATAGAGAGCCTTACACAGGTATTATGTAAACGTTAAGTTTTTTATTTAACCTTGCGAGATATATGACACCAAGTGGCGTGGCCAAGGGTGGGGATGAATGGAGGAAGGCTCTGGTGAGAACGGTTGCCAATTTGGCGACTTTGTCAATATATTTAGCAACTCAAACCGCCTGCAGTCAGAACAGAGGAGACCCATTCCACTCTGGATCCACTTTGCAAATCAAACGCACTTGTGCAAGCTGATAGATACTATCGATTAACGATCGCTATTCCAACTCCTGACTGGGTGACATGGTTTTAAACGGGAATGAGGTAGACATCAATCAGGCTGTAACGTTTGTTACAAACATAAAATTTCAGCTGCAATAGCCACAGTTCACCCGAGGAGGGCAGCACTGAGACAGTTTTAGACCGAACAGAATAAATGATTATTTGTTATGCATAATGAATAGAATATACTATTCTATTCTATATTCTATTATATTCAGATAAGTTTAGATTAGATTAGATTAGAATAGAATAGACTTTATTGATCACCAAGGGAAAATTGCGTATGTGTTGACAAGCTACTCCATCCAGGGTGTTAAATATTAGTAAGTACAAGTATAACCATAAGCTATATTAAATTTATATATATAATAGAATATAATACAATATGATATATTATATTATAATATACATATGATATAAAATTTAAGTGTGATGTAAGTAAATTAAATATGACTAAATATAAATAAATATAAAATATGGTAACAATAGCACAGAATTTAACAAATTTACTTCAAAATATATAAATATAAATAAGTGTGTGTGTGTGTGTTGTTGGACTGTCATATTGTCCTGCTCGGTCAGTCTGCAAACAATGTGAATGTTCAGGTCATTTCCATAAAGGCTATAGTTTTAAATCCAATCAACTTTAAGGTATTAAACATAATCTTCACTTAAAAATTGTTGTTGTTTTTGTGTGTGTGTAATAATACTCTATTTTCAGTAGTGGAAAATCACCATAATTAACAGAAATAAAGGTTTGAAAACAGACTATTTGTGGTGTCTCACTTGAGTTAATGAAATAAATGTTGTACATATGCACTAAATCTCCAGTTATTTCATACATACAATACAAACGTTACAGGTTAAAACACTATTGTTCATCCGCTCAGTCCGTCAACAATGCGAATATTCACGTCATTTCCATTCATAAATGCTACAGTTCATTCATGCAGCCTAGCTGAAAACGTTACATACTTTAAAATCCAAACCAATATCGGTAATAAATGATCAGATTCGGGCTTCCTACCTCCCATGGTTGCGCTCCTCTGCGCTGCTCCGCTCCAGGTGGTGCAACAGGTGGATTATTGACCTGGGAGGAGGACCGAAACCCTGCCGCTCTGTGACGGAGTGACGTTATCCGTTCATCAAGCTTCACGTCGTTAGGGTTACATGTCTTCAGATAAAAAAAAAATAAAAAAAACATTAAAACGGATTCATCCGGAACTCGTTTTTCTCGCTTTTCCTTAACCGTAAAGCGGAGATCAGATCGAGGAGCGCACGGTTGGAGCCGGCCCAACCTGCCTGCTGCCGGCATGAGTAATCCCCGGTCTCACCTTTAAAAACAAACTCGACCGGTCGAGTCGTCTCAGAAAAGGCTGTAAACGCAGCTTGTGGGTGGTTCAGATCTAAAGCCGGAGGAATTTTTTTTCTAACTGTGTGTTGGTTCCTGAAAAGCTGGAAAAGCCATTTGTTTAAAAAAAAAAGAGCATGTCTCATCCTACATCGTTACTTTTGCTTCAAGAAGTAACACTGCACGTTTAGTCTTCAGGGTTTCTGAACGTCCTCAGATGTTTTTATAAAGCAATTTTATTAAGCAATTTCAATAATGTTTTACCAGCAATAAATAACAGAGAAGAACCATTTTAAATTTACACCCGTCACAAAACACCCATTGTTTTCCAGTTTATAACTTAATACTTAAAATAACATTGCAAAGCAGACATATATGGAGAGCCATTTCAGCCAAAATTAAATAAATGAGTAATTGGCATCTTTATTTCATTTATTAATTCCTGGATTTATTTTTATGGAGAGCCATTTTAGCCAAAATTAAATAATTTCCCCAATTTATTTATTTAATTTTGGCTAAAATGGCTCTCCATTGACATAAGGCAGTATTTTAGCAACAATACAATAACTTTTTAAGAACTCTTAATGAGAATGTGTTACAATTTTGAGATCTGCTTCTGTTTGCTTCATAGCAGCACAAATGTTTGATAGGATTATAGAAATAGCAAGCTATGAAAATAATCACATTTCATTTATATTCTATTTGTGTATTTGTATTTATTTATATATATTTTTAAAGAAGATACTTGTGTCCCATCAGTTCCTCTGAATTATTTTTGAAATTTTTTTCAACTCATCAAACTCAACAATGTGCCATCATAAACAGGGCTGGATGGATAATTATACTCTAGTTTTACTTCTGAATCATTGCGTAATAAAGTATGAGTAGATTTAAAGATCCTCAGCAGCATTGAGTGTTAGCATGCCATGTACATGAACATATTGAGCAGCTAAAGAAACAAGAGGATGTAACTGAATTCAGGAGGATTTGGTCAATCCAATTACAGCCGACTGCTGAGCTTTGAGCCGTTAAGAACTAAATAGTCTTAACATTGGTACAGATATATTTTTTTTCTTTAATTCAATTCAGAAATATTTTATTGATCCCAAAGGGGAATTAAATGTTGTAACTCTTGTTATTTGAAGATTCTTCAAAAAATAAATCATTAGAACCAGCACTATGTTATTGTAAAAAACATTAAATGTCATTTTTTTTTCTGCTTGCTGCTTGTTTAGAATCACATACGAGTCCTTATATAAGTCGTAGGAGAATTTAGACAAAATAATGGTCAATTTACTCTCAAAAAAGGCACTGTGTAACTAATAATTAAATGACTATTGCAATGTTTTGAATGTGTGAGTTAAGGTACAGAACATCCTTAAAACTGGGTAAAGAACAACCCACTTTGGGTTATTTTGCTAACAGGGTTAGCTCTTGATTGTGTTACATTTCAGAAAACTTTACACATTCATTTCATTATTGTGACTTGAGCTGGATGAGAGCAGTTAAAACCCACAGAGCAGCACTAACATCTTCATTCACTGACAAATTAAATAGAATACAATTAATACAAGGTTAAGCAGAGTTCCACCAAGTGTGAATGTTGAACAGTATTAGCTCTAACTTGTGCTAACTACCTGAAAAAAAGCTATCTTAATAAA